TAACTCGTGCATACAATATATGTGTAATGTGAGAAGAGACAGGAGAAAATTCTTCCATGTATTGAACGGGATGAACGCGATCTGTTTAGTGTCTGGTTATCTGTGTCCTGAGGAATGGCGCTGCCTTGTTTCATAGTTTTTAAGTCTGGAGTGAGTTTACTGGGTATAAATGTGGTGTGGCTCATCAACCAGCCCCACCAAAGCAGAATGCTCCGTGTTGCCTTTGCAGCTGAAAGTAGCTCTGATCTAATGGTTTTCTCACAGCCTATGACCTTCCTGACCATTGCTATCTTGATATTGATAATTGGAAATGATGTTCACTGTTGCAGAGTATGTAAAGAATGCTGGCCACATAGGCTTTGGATAAAGAAAAGAATATTGCCTGGTTTTCAAATTTTGTATAAAGACACAGTAAAAAGTGCTGCACAAAAGGCTTTATCAATTTAAAATGAAGATTTTCTTCCTCCCCAACTCCTGCAACCATCAGAGGAAGGGAAGAAGGGATGAGAAAGAATTGGGGCATATTGCTGTTGTAAAAAGCTTCAATAAAAATAGATTAGCAGAAAGTAAAAAGATTTTTTATTAGTAATTCTTGCACTCATACAGTACAGAATTCCCAAGGACGATGCATATCTGAAGAGGCATCTTGAATAGAAATGTGTGTGTCTGTGTTTGTATATATGTATATGCACTCTTATGTACATGACTGCCACTTTCTGCTGGCATGAATTTTTTCCTGCTGGTGCATTTGCACTGTCGTACGTCACAGGGCTTATGCTTGGTTATAGCTTTACTATGAGCAGTGCTGCACAATCTGTGTGCCAGAACATCTGGGAGCGTCATATAAACGTGGAGCATTCATCAGTGTGTGGTATTAGAAGAATCCTAGATATTTAAGTAGGATTTGAGTCAGTTATCCAGCGGTGGCAAGAAAAGCATTCTAACATACTGCTGCTGATGTTGGCAGTGATTTATGTGTTAATGTCTGTAACAAAACCTAGTAGTAAGCAGTAATGGCAAAAGCTGCTTAATCCATTTGGAGATAGATGGACTTTTTAATGTACTTTGATATACTGCATTGCGTTTCAGTTAATTACGCCAGTGTTTCTGTTACGGACTGTCATCACCTCTGCTATAATAATCACTCCAGATTTTTTTGCCATATACTAAAATGCTCCTTTTCTCTTGTCTTATTTGTTCAAAGTAATCCTATAGTAGTCATCATGCATAGTGATAAAATGTCTGCTAGTAATCTGCTTCTGTTCTGGCTGATAAATCTTTTCAATATTTATATTTCAACGTTGTTTTACTTACTGAACATATAACAATCCGCAATCCAAAGAGATGGACCAATTTATTTTTTCTGTTCTTCATCCAGTTTGATAGAGGAGAAAAGCAAATTGCAAAAGCATCATCAGCAGGAGGAAAATGCACTTTAAGCGCGAAGAAAAAGTGTAATATGAAACTGGAATTTCTCTTATTTGTCTTGTATCTGTTACCATTTTCTACTGATAAGTTTTGCTCATGTAATGATTTTGTAGCCTGAAATAAGCAGGCTGAGAGAGTATGCGTTAATTCCAGAACTGATTTTGTTGTTTGCAAATGCATCCAAGTTATAAATAATTTGTGTGCAGCTATATTGCAATTAATATTAGAGTATATTTTACATAGTTCAGATAATTAACTGTTAGCTTTTATAGATAATAGCTAAGACTTGTAAAAGAAGGAGATTATCAAAATAGTTTGGCTTAAGAATGCATAGAAATAGAAAAGGAAATATTTACAGCATGGTAATGAAGCCACATGTTGATAGAGGAAATCAATAGCATGCGTAGTTTCAGAGACTTGGTATTGTCATTGAAAATTTATCTTCTGCTTTGTATTTTTAGGTATGTATATATGCCTATACATGTGTATGTAGGTTGTTTTTCAAAAAATTAAAGTGTAGTTACTTGAGGTTTGCTTTTTACTTAATGAAAAAGAATAATTCACACATGATATGTGTATCTGTATGCAGAAAAGATGTATGTGTAAAAAGATGCATGTATAAAAGTTGTGGACGTTGACTGGGCTGCAAAGACATAAGTTGTTTTGAGACATCTGAGGATGTAAAATAGTGATAGAATCATAGAATCGCAAGGTTGGAAATGACCTGCAAGATCATCTAGTCCAACTGTCCTCCTATTACCATTGCTACCACAAGCACTAACCCGTGTCTTGTAGCGCCTCATCCAGACGCCTCTTGAACACTGCCAGGGATGGCAACTTCACCACTTCCCTGGGCAGCCATTCCAGTCCTTGACCACTCTCTGAGAGAAAAAGTTCTTATGTCCAAACTAAACCTCCTCTGGTACAATTTGTGGCCATTTCCTTGAGGTCCTATTTGTTTCCTGGGATAAGAGGCCAAACCCTTCCTCATCACAGCCTCCCTTGAGGTAGTTACAGAGTGCAGTGAGGTCTCCCCTGAGCCTCCTCTTCTCCAGACTGAACAACCCCAGCTCCCTCAGCCGCTCCTCATAAGACTTGTGCTCCAGACCCCTCACCAGTTTCATTGCCCTTCTCTGGACACGTTCCAGGGCCTCAACGTCTTTCTCATAGTGAGGAACCCAAAACTGAACACAGTACTCGAGGTGCGGCCTCACCAGTGCTGAGTAGAGGGGGATGATCACCTCCCTGCTCCTCCTGGCCACACTATTTCTAATGCAGGCCAGGATGCTGCTGGGCACACTGTTGGCTCATGTTCAGCTGAGCATCAACCAACACCTCCGGGTCCTTTTCCTCTTCAGTAATCCAACCACTCATCCCCAAGCCTGTATTGCTGCATGGGGTTATTGTGGCAAAGTGCAGGACCTGGCACTTGGCCTTGTTGAACCTCAATCCCATTCACCTCAGCCCAGTGATCCAGCTTATCCAGGTGCTTCCCTACCCTCAGGCAGATCGACACCACCTCCCAACTTGGTGTCATTTGCAGACTTACTGAGGGTGCACTCAATCCCCTCATTTAGGTCATCAATAAAGGTACTAAGCAAAATGGGCCCTAGTACCGACCCCTAAGGGACACCACTTGAAACAGGTCACCAGCTGGACTTCACTCCATTCACCACTACCCGCTGGGCACGGCCCTCTAGCCAGTTCCTTACCCAAAGAAGTGTACACCTGTTAGACCACGGGCAGCCAGTTTCCTCAGAAGAAGCCTGTGAGAGACTGTCAAAGGCTTTGCTGAAGTCTAGGTAGAATACATCAACAGCCCTTCCCTCATTCTTCTCAGGAGTAATAAATAGTACCTGGGCTCCCATAGTTCAAAATAAAGATCTACTTTGAATTAATTAAGGCTCGTTTTAAATGATGTCTAGTTTTGATCTGGGGAAGCAGAGAGGGTGTGCAAGAGGGACAAAGCTATTAAAAAATAAGTGAGCCAATGCTGTTCTATTTGTTTGCCAACTGGTTATCCAGAGAAGGGTGGTATGAGGAATAGATGGTTGGACAATGAACTTCTGAATTTGCTGGTGATTAGCAGTGTCCATATTTGTCATTGCTGTAACGCCAGGCAGAGCTTGTAATGTCTGCTGAATGTAGATAGGACCTTTGTCTTCAGTAATCCTGTAGTGTAAATTCAGGCTTCTACAGACAGTGCTCACGTAGAGGACTGATATGATTAAAGGCAGCAGCTTTGCAGACTGTAAATGCAGTTACGATTTTTGTTTTGATTTCATGTTCCTCTCTGCGTAGGGAAGGGGGAAGTTTTCGGTTCTGTGTGCAGCTTCTATTCCTTAGAGCACTTTCTAAAGGGAATGCTTTCACATGAGTGCTTAAAAAGAAAAAGAAAGTTGTCTGTTTCTTAGGACTCAACAATGTCCCTACAGTGACTTTGTTACTTTTACTTTCTGTGGCGTTAGAGGCAGGCAAATATTTCTAAGAACTTCATGTGTTGCAAGAATTTATTACTTCTGATTATTCAGTCAGGCATTCATAATGACTTTTTTTTTCTTGTAGTTATTTAGATGTCAGTGTTCCTAGCTGTTTGTCCCTACTATAAAAAGGGACTACTGATGTGTGAGGAGATGAAACAGGTGGAATACTATGCCGAAAGAATGGAAGTAGGAAAACTCCAGAAGCAGAAGTCTGATTTTTATTTTAAGACTTCTTTATAAATCCCTTCCCAGGTAAATCATATAAATCTTAAGTTGTTAAACAAGGAAACCAAACATGTCTGTTTCGTTCTTGCTGGATCTCAATGATAATAAACAAGGGCTTACACAGAGGGCCCGCAGGCTGCTCATAGAAACCTGAAGTAAGAGGCCCTAAAGAAAACGTTGTGTTCAAGGTAGCATGACTGGCTTCAGTAGATAAAAATCTAGTATTGGAGGTAGAAGAAAAAATCTGTTTTCATGTATAAGTAATTCTTACTACTTTCTGCCTTTCTGTAATAGTATGCTAGCACTGATTTGGGACTTGTTGATTTGAATAATGTTTTCAAATTGCTTATCTTTAGTGTGGTTCTATTTCCATGAGTGTGCATTATGAGCAGAACCTTGAACACTCTCTTCTTCCTTTCCTTGCTCTTCCTCCCCCTGTACTTTCTGCCAGCACAGAATGTGGGTGTGTATCGATCAAATTACAGGAGGTTCAGACTTTAGTTGGTTCTTCAGAACAATCTTAGAACACAGAGAATCCATTTTTTGCTGGACAGAGGCTGATGCAGATTGGTTGAAGCACAGGTTAACAGTCTGGGATCAGGAAAAACAGTGCAGAGCAGGAAAGTGAAATGGGATTTGAAGAAGTGCAAAGCAGCTTTGCAATGGTAGCTGCTCCTGCTCTGGTTTCAAGTATGAATACTTGGGCATGAAGCAGCCTTGCATGTTGAAATGGCTTGAAAGATACCGAGATAACTCCTTGCAGTAGCACATTACCGCACGTAATGAGGCAATAGTTTCAGTGTAGATGCTGTACAGTTCTTGATGATGGTTTTTTTCCCCTTTTTTTTTCTTTTTCTTCTGCAGATATTCCTGAAATACCAGAAAGCATCTCATTCTGCAAGGCACTACAGGTAGCAGATTTCAGTGGGAATCCACTAACTAGGTAATTTCCATCTTCTTCTTAGTACTTGCCATACCAGAATTACAATCTTGCTGTAACAATTACAATTTTAAATAAGCCCTTAAGAATTGTGATTTAGGATCTCTATGAAATCTTGCCAACAATGTCTGTCTCTGGCAGGATCTGTAGCGAAAGTTCAGATTTAAAACGTGATGAGCATCTTCACTGGGAGGGGATGAAATTTGTTAGCCGACCAGGAAAAATGCAAATCTGATTCTCTTCTAAGTAATTTTCATTCCTCTTCTTAAATGCATAGGAAAACCACGCTCATACCTGGGAGAGATAAAGCAATGGTAAGCACGAATGTATTGGCACAAATCCAGGTGCTTGACAATTTGGAATAGATTGTAGCTCAGCTGCTGCAGATAATGGCTTTTCCTAATGATTAAAGCTTAGACTAGTGTTTCAACACTCTCCTGTCAATTGGGACACAGTGACGTGCAGTAACATGCGGCAAAAAAGCACTGCATCTATCACTGGTTGCTGCTGCTGTTTCCTGGTCTGTATTCTGATGGAGTCGAGGGGATTACACACTTACAGAAAAGGCTTGTTTACATTTTTCTGTTCCATTTGCTGAAGAGTTTAGAATTCGTATAGTGAACCGAGACCGGAGATAACAAAGGACAGAAGAGGTGATCTGCTAGCTGGAGCCTTTGAACGCTGTTAAACTGGCCTGTCCCACAGAGCTCCTTTGTGATGCTTAGAAATTCACACAAACCAGAGCATTCACAGTGGGCGTTAACCAGCTCTCTTTGCTTTGCACTGAGATAGGCTGGGAATACTTGCACGATTAGCTGGCTGGCTGGCTGGCTGGGATGCGTGAGTGGTAACAAACAGCTGAGTGTCTGTAATTCTTAAGCTGCTACAGCGGTTTTGCAGGGCAGCTTCTCCCACATTGGCAGCTGAGATTCTTCAGAGCAGCGCTTTGAATATAGTGCATAGTGCATTCTAAGTTCTCTGGAAATTCGGCTCTCTAAGCATTAAAGGGACACTTGTGATCTTAATCCCCGTGCCTCTGTAGCCCATTTATATGCTGAGGATAATAATACCACAAAAATCTGGTAAAGCAAACTGAAGCTGAGCTGATGTTTAGATATTAAAGTGATGAGAGTCACTGCGCAGCGTTTTCTCAGAGATGAGTGTGCCGTATGTACAGCAAGAGCTGCATCTGATGGTACTGAAATAAAACATACTAAGCAGTAGCATGTGAGTTATCATTCTCCATTTTGTGAACCAAATAAGGCTTAGGGCCCAAGTAATGTATCTCTTTAAACAGCATCTGTAATGCGTGACTGCAGCTGAGAGGAACTGACAAAAGAGTTGTAGGGTTTCTTAATGGGGTTAAAATGGATCTCATAACTCATTGCTGGCTGTTGTAGGAGAAATTTAAAAATTCGTGATAAAATGGCTCCAAAATGTGTGTATGTACTGGAAAACATCACTCCAACCAGTTTACTAAGTTAGAAAATGCAGGCAGTTCAAGTTGTTTGTACATGGTTGCCTGGTGCTTTCTATGATAAAGTCCAGAATTTCAGTTTTACCTGTATTTACCTGTATCTACAGCATTTAGATCTTGGCACTAATTACCCAAGATAGAGTGAGAAAGCCCAGCAGTCATTTCCTTTTGTTCGAAGGAAAGAACTTTTTTAGCCATTGATCCTAGCTCTTGTTTCTTCTGAGCTCAAAAGCCAGTCGTAGAACTTTGCCATCAATGTGCTTCCACTAATACAGAATGTTGTCTCACTGTCAAATTGAATGACTTCAGTACTAAAAATGGCTGCTTTTCAGCTGCTTTCAGGTTTATATTAATAAGAAGGAGATGCATTTAGGTAGGTTAGACTAGAAGTCTGCTATACGGTATAGATAAACCATTTAACTACAGTTTTAAAACTGTTAGCTCCTAAATGGTAAAAACTGCTTTTTCAAAGTAAGCTATTACTATTGTACACCTAAGGAGGGTGAACAGTCACAGTAGCACTCACATTGTAGAGATACCAAACATGTTCTGTTAATGAAAGACAGAAAATGACAAACAGTGCGGTATGGGGTTGAGCACACGAGAATTTGTAATTTGTCTCCTTCCCTTTTCCCCCATCACACACAGCTGTGCTTGCCCATACACTTGAATCTCCAGTTTGCTAGCAATCTGTGGATTATACTGTGTTCCCAGAGCTGGGTGGTGTGGGGAGCAGGAACCAAACTACAGCTTGGGCTTAGGTAGTGTGCTCCGGGAATCAGGTTTGGTGCAACCTGGCTGCCTGCAGGTGAGGGTGAAGGAGTTCTTCAGTGTGAGTAGGGGGAAGCCAAGCAGTGCAGAAAACTGGGTGTTGCTCCTGAAGGCTTTAGGTAATTTGGGAGTGTTGCTTGCATTTTTATAATGTGAGAAGAGTAGGATTGCAAGCTGTTGTGCTGTGGACTAGTACATGCAAATGTTATAACAACAGAACATTGTCTTGCTGGTAAACAGAGTGTTTCTTCAAAAAGCAGCAAGTAAAGAACAGCCTGGTATCTAACACAAAATGGTCCTGCTGTAAGCATGTACATAACTGAAGCTTAAATCAGAGTAATTGATTTCATTATTTTACCATCTAGCAGATGCAGGAAAATACCAGCAGAATATTTTTTTCAGTTTCATTTTTTATAATACTTTAAATGCAGCTATATGTATATGGCTTTGTAACGTTGCAAATTGGAGGCAAGGAAAAGAGATTAATGCTTTTTTCTTACTATGATTCCTAGAATTTTTCAAGATTTGTGCTGGAATATAGACATTTCTCCCCTTCTCTGTGTATATTGGCTGAAAAGACTCTAATTTTCTGCAACATGTCCTTTTTTCCTCTGTGTATTCTGTTAATGTGAATACTTATGCTGGAAGTCCTAAACTTGAATTAATATCTCCGTAGGTTGCCTGAAAGCTTTCCTGAATTACAGAATCTAACGTGTCTTTCAGTAAATGATATCTCTCTGCAAGCACTACCTGAAAACATTGGGAAGTAAGTGTTCTTTAGCCTTTTTGTTATTTTATTTATTTTCTTTCCTGGTACATATACTATGTAAGTCACACGCATGATTGTATATAATGTGATATACCTATGAAGTCATTTACAGCTTTGTGCTTTTTTTAATCAGTCTGTTGAAAAAGAATCTCTTTGCATTTTCACTTACCGTTAGCAAGTCAATTCAGCATCTGAATCATATGTGTGTATACTTAAGCTCTGTTTTCAGGGATTTGGATTAACTTGTATTTTTAAATGCAAAATTAAATAGGTGTTTTATGATGCAGAATTGACCTTTAACTTTCCTTTTTTGTAGTAAAGGCCATTGATCCGTTATTGTAAACATGTCAGCCAGCTTGCAGCTTAGCTCAAAACCAGATAGTGCTGGCACAAGAACAAACGGGTAAAAGCTGGCTATGATCAGGCTGGAAATTAGAGGGCTCCTAACCATAGCAGCAGTTTGGTTCTGAAAGAACTCCAGCGAGAACCGTGGAGAAGGAAAATCACAAAACAGCTCTAAAGATGGAATTTGATAAGCCTCTGAGATGTTTGTTAATTCTGGAAAGCACAGCATCATTGCAGGGACAGAATTCTAAAGCAGAAACACAAGAAAAGTAAAGTGAACTTCATTTATTTGTCTCTTGTTGATAGCAACAAACATCTAAGCTTGCAAAAAAGGAATCTCTCTTCTCTTAGTGAAGAGATTTGAAGGAGAAAAGGTAATTCCACATCTCCTTAATTAAACATATGAGAATGTTTAGACCAAGGACACATTTAGCCCACCTCTCTTCTACAGCTATACTGATGTGGATTAAGAAAAATGCATGTTTGATTACTCCTCTTACCATCTTCTGGTTCAGGGGATTTCCTGGGCTCCACATTGTGGTTTGTCTAATGGTAGACATGAATCCTGATCCACATAATTGTCCAGTTTCTCATTGAGCTTATGGAGACATCTGTAGTATTTGGCCCTGGCAAATAGCTGCAAAGGCTGATTTGCTGATTTACTGGGAAACGTACCATTTTAGAGAGATGGAACTTTCTGGCAACACGTGATAGTTTGTTCTCTGTGTCTCTCTGTACCTGCCTTTATGGTTACTGTGCCTGTGTTGTTCTAAGTTTTCATGTACTGAACAACTTCAAACCACTTTGATCTCTTTCTTCCTTCAGAAAGCCTAGGAACACAGGAAGAACAACATGGATGTTGAGTCCTCTAACAGTAGAGGACTATTTATCTTGGACATCCTTTCATAAAGTGGAGTGTTTTTTAACAAGAATTCTTTGGGGAGCCAGCTTAGTCCCTAACAGTCATTAAAACCCAACTTTATAAATAGAAGAGTCCTCCAGAAGGGATCTTATTAAAAGCTCCTGCAGTGTAGTCAAGTCCAGACCAGCATTGCTTTAGCCACTTCCTGTGAGTATTAAAGCTGTCAGTGGGCACCAGTCCAGGAGCAACAGAAGTAGGAAATATCTTTTAAAACATTCCACAAGCACTAACAGGTACAGCTAATGTGTGCCCACTGACTATGACAAAGTCTTATTAACAATGGCATGGGCTGGGGCTTCTGTGACATTCTTCCTTTTCTACAGCGAGTTCACAGAACTTTAAATGCAGTTTTTCATAGTAGTGACAGCTAAGAACAGATTTGTTCAAACTTCTTAGTTACTGAAAACCTAGGGCTACAATTTTGGATCTTTCCTGATTCTGAAAATGGTTATGGGAAACATGACAAGCTGAAATGATTTTCAGATTTTAAAGTAGGCTGCTGCTTTACAACTAATACCTGGAGGAAGGTCACTGGCTTCCCTGACGAGTCACTGCTGTGCTCTATCTCCTTGCTTAGCCTGCTTGTCATTTGACAAATGTGGCTGGTGGTAAGCTCTGTTAAGGAACAAATGAATAGAAACAATTTTGGTTACAATGGGAATACCAGGCATTTGCAGAAATGTCAGTATGTGAAACTATAGAAAAATATGTGTAATAATTTTTCTATTATCCATCCTAAACAGTCCAAGGAGGTGCTGTGAAACTATTTAAACTTTATATGAGCTGTTACAGAACACAGCAGTGTAACCCATTCTTCCTCAGAGTCAGTTGCCAATGCTGAAGCTAAAACCCTGGGACTTCATTTTGCTTGAGGAAGGGCCGTATGCTTATTCTTGGTGAATTTTCCTGGAGGGCTAGGCTTTTATTCAAATCTGATAGGCTTACTTCAGTCTGACAAATGCACCCAGAATAGCTTTCTGAACTTATGTATATTTTATTTATACAAAAACACTTTAATTTTTTTAGCAGAAATTTATGCCAATTAGATTTATGCTTACAGAAGCAGGGACAAATGTGTTGAGCTTTTGTTTTTGGCTCGTCGAGTATTTAGAGTGGAAAGAAATATGGCAGTTGGGAAGTAAACCTGGACTTTTCCAAGATAGAAGGATATTAACAGAACAGGAGGGAAAGTAATGACACATCTCACGAAAATGTAATTGTTCTTGAATTCTGTTGGGGAATGTTGATCTTCCTGGAATACATTCAAATGATCCGAATCTGGTGATTTTATTTATTTATTTATTTTTAAGCACCTCACACTTCACAATAAATAGCAGAACAAAGCTCCTTTTCTCTCCTTCAAACGAAGGAATTTCAGACACTGTTGACAAGGAGAGAGATATTCTAACTATAGTTAGAAATGATTGAAAGGTCTTGTTTGCAGTCAATTATGACTGCAGCTTAAAGTTCTTACATTACATTTACCACTGAGAGTGAATTTCATAAACATTTTTTTTTAATACACTTTCATCTATAAATAATACAACTATTTTTTCAGTCAGGATACCAATAGGTGCAGCTTTTCCTTTTTATTTCACAAAAGTTTTATAGTTTATTTTAAGCATGAAATCATCATTTAAGTGAGTTTGGTCCAGTTGACTGCCTTTTGGTAAAAGCAATGGAACGGTATGGGCTCTCACAGAATGGCCAGGGTTGGAAAGGACCTCACGGATCATGAATCTCCAACTCCCCTGCCACATGCAGGGCCACAAACCTCCTCATTTAACACCAGACCAGGCTGCCCAGGGCCCCGTCCAATCTGGCCTTGAACACCTCCAGGGATGGAGCATCCACAACCTCTCTGGGCAGCTGTTCCAGCACCTCACCACTCTCTCTGTACAGAACTTCCCCCTGGCATCCAACCTAAATCTTCCCTCCCTCAACTTCAAACCATTTCCCCTTGTCCTGCTGTTGTCTATGCTTTCAAAGAGTTGATTCCCCTCCTGTTTGTAGGCTCCCTTTAGGTACTGAAAGGCTGCACCTTTGTATCCTGCAGCCTTCTTTTCTCCAGGCTGAACAAGCTCAGCTCCCTCAGCCTGTCTTCATAGGGGAGGTGCTCCAGTCCCCTGATCATCTTCGGGTTCTCCAAACATAGCACACTTGTGCTGCTTGTTCCCTTCTCTGTTCATTTTCTCCTGCCCTTTCTGGGACCCCCAAAATGCTAGGTATTTGAAAGAAAGTCATGCTGAGTGTCTCTTTCTGGCTGAAGAGATGAAAAAAGACTCTTTCAAGCTTTTGGATATGTTTACAAATGCCTTGCTGGAATTTCTTTGTGCTTTGCATGAAGATCCATGTTATTATTTAATGGAATAGGATTGGACTACGTGCTTTATGTATGACCAGTCAAATCCTGAGCAAGAAAGTGCATATTGGTGAGTTATTCTGGTATGGTTGTGCTCAGGGAAAAACCTGAACTCTGTGTGCTTGTTGTTGGTCTTTTGGCCACTAAAGGATTTGGAAAATTAGGAAAAAGCATCCTAAATTTCTGTGGCCTTAGAGTCTTGTCTGGGAAATCACCTTATACAGTCAGTGACAGAATTTGAGACCAAATTCAACTCAATCCAGTTTTGCTATTGTCTGATGTATAAGATCAATATCAACGATCAGCTTTGCTGTCTCAGGCAAGTATCATAATGTATTCTAGCTTTTGATATGTAAAGTTGCTGTTTATATTTTTGTTGTGCCGTTCAGAATTCTGCATAGCCCTTTCACGTTTTCCTTTGTGTTGCCAAAATTGAATGTATTTAAGGGTCCCAAGTGGATGTTGAAGAGCCTTGTGTATAATTGTATTGTGTCACATCTCTTTAGTAAGCTCTGCTTTGGGCCATGGTAACAGATGAGATGTTATAATGTAAGCACTGTTGGTTTTTTTTGTTTCTCTGTGATTTGTGATGTTTAACGTGTCGCATGGAGTAAAATAGTGAGTGCTAATGTATGTGAGATATTAAAGCTAATAATTATCTTAAGCAGGAGTTTTCTTGTTACCTAGGTGAACCGTTCAGAGAAACAGGTTACACAATTTAAGCTGTTAGTGGGAGTGTCCTTTCAGTGTTTCTCAGCCTAATGAAGCGAGACTGATTTCCCTGTGTATTCTGCTTGTGATGGTAGAGCTGTTCAGTGAGCAAGTGTGGTCATTCTTACTGCCATGGGTAGCATTTAGGAATTTCTATTCCAGAGCCTTTTCTTCAGAAGTTCCTTATGTATGTGACATCTAGAACACAGGGCACAGCTTGTTTCTGGAATTCAGGAATCAAGGTGTTTATCAGCCTTCCTCATATGCCTTACAGTGTTATGAATGATCAGATATACGTACTTTTCAAGCACGTTCTGTCCTTATGTATTAATTTCATAGCATTGACCTCAGAATTAGTTCCTCCCACCCTACAGTGTTATACTGCCTTTTTACCAACAAAAATTTTCATGCTGTGCACTCATGATTTAATATCTTGAAAGAGAAGATACCTTGTTGGTCATAATTGTGTGTTTATTTAGATGTGGTTCTTTGTCCTGAGTGAAGTCCAGATATCTTTGAAAGCCTTTATGTGAGTCTCTGATGTTTAATCTAGCATTGGGCTTTCAGATCTGTGCTTCAAAAGGAATCTGCCCTAGCCAAAAAAACGTTCAAATAGGCATTTCTTGCTGTTTAGTTTTCTGTCTGACTGTGTGGGTA